GATCATGGGATACCAGATCGAAGGCTTTTTTGAAGTCAAGATATATGACATCAATCTCTTCTCCCTTGTCCAGGTGATAGGTCACCTGGTCGTAGAAGGAAATGAGATTGGTCAAGCAAGACCTACCCGCAACAAACCCGTGCTGGCTATCCCTTAAGATGTTGGCGTCGGCCAGTCCATTAAGGATGGCCTCTTTAATAAACTTTTCTAAGATCTTCCCTGGGATAGAAGTCAGGCTAATGGGCCTATAGTTAGCCAGATCCACTTTCCTCCCTTTCTTGAAGATAGGCACCACATTGGCCTTTTTCCAGTTTTCGGGCACTACGCCAGAGCACCAAGAGTTTTCAAAGATCTGTGCTAGAGGCTGGGCTATGATGCTCGCCTAGAGGCTCGCCTATGATGCTAGATCTAGCTGGATTCTGTCCCTCCCCTCCAGCGTGCCCACCTCACCCCACAACTTGGTGTTGTCAGCAAATTTGAACAGCGTGCTTTCCACACCCACATCCAGATCACTGATAAAGACTTTGAACAGTACAGGCCCAGGACCAAGCCCTGGGGGACACCACTGCCCACATCCCTCCAGGTCAAAAACAACCTGTCCACCACCACTTTCTGGGTGCGACCATCTAGCCAATTTGCCACCCATCTGACAGTGTAGGCATCAATGCTGCAGTCATCAAGTTTTTTTTAAGAGAATGTGGTGGGAAACCGTGTCAAAGGCCTTCTTAAAGTCCAGGAAGATGACATCCACCTCAACACCCTCGTCTAGAGACTTTATGACCTGATCATAAAAAGAAACCAGGTTAGTCAGGCAGGACCTGTCCTCGGTGAACCCTGTTGAGCCCTTGCAGATGTGCTCCTTGATAATTTTCTCAAATGTCTTCCCAAGGACTGAGGTAAGACTGACTGGCCTGTAATTGCCAGGGTCCTCCTTTTTCCCCCCTTCTTGTAAATGGGGACCACATTGGCCCTTTTCCAATCCTCTGGTACCTGGCCAGTGCCCCATGAGTGCTGAGAGCCATGCCAAGGGCCCTGCTATGATCCCTGCCAATTCCCTCAGCACCCTCAGGTGAAGAGCATCTGGACCTACTGATTTAAATATGTCCAGCCCCTCCAAAAGTTCCCTAACTAGGTCTTCTCTGACCCTAGGCATGGCGGTGCCTCCCCTGGGTCCATCTGCAATTCTAGTGGGGGAGATGTCCCGGTCCCTGTTCAGGAATATGGAGGCAAAGAATTCGTCAAAGAGGTCAGCTTTTTTGTTTGCCGCAATCGCCAGATTGCCAAGCCTATCCTGTAGGGGCCCCACGTTACCTGGTGCCTCCTTCTTACTTCCTATGTATTTGAAAAAGGACTTTTTATCCTTAATTCTGGTCACTAGCCCTAGCTCCATCTCTGCCTTGACCTTCCTAACAGCCTCCCTGCAATCCAGAGCAACAGAAGTGTAATCCTCCTTGGTGATAGCCCCTTGCTTCCACTGTTTGTACGCCTCCTTTTTTGCCCTCAAGCATCCCTAGATGCCTTTGCCAAGCCATGGGAGCTTCTTGGCACTCCTGCCCCCCTTGGTGCGCATTGGGACTGACTCTCTTTGAGCTCAGAGGATTGTCTCCTTGAACAACAACCACCAGTCCCTTCATTAATCACCTTCATGGGGAGCAGGAAATATGCGTCTCTTTCTTCTTTATACAAGCCCTGTTTTAATTTAAAAAAAAAAAACCAAACAAAACTTTTTTTTTTTTTTGCACTGTAGAAATATCACATCCAACAGGTTTCTTCTCTGTTTCTGCTGGAGATTTCCTTGGAAGACTGGAGGACTTGTGTGTGAGCACAGTTCTTGACTGTAAGGGAAAAAGCACCAACACTTTGACATCAGGCACAGGAATTCACTAAGCTGTGAAAGACAAAACTTGAGGCATAGACATGGAGAAGTGCATTGTGGCAGCTGCACACAAACAAGCTTGAACTGGGAGAATGCCCTTAATTTGTTCAGGGGTTAATGTACCCCTAGTTGAGGCAGACTTCTATGAATTGAAGTGGGTGCATCATGTACATGGGGTGCCTCTTTCCCCCCCCCCGCCCAAAAAAAAAAAAGAAGTCAGGGAGCTTGAGTTTCCATAGGTGAACCCATTCATGGCCTCTGAGAATTCTCATCTCAGGTGTTTGTCAGAGGGTTCAATTAGAGGCATTAAAATCAATCACAACTAAGTCTCCAAAGTTTTAAAAGCTATTTCACTAAACCCTTTCCCTTGTCAGTTGCTTAGAGGCACCCATAAAACCAAAACTCTTTTTCAGTTATCCCTAAAGTCTTCTACAAAACATACAGAAGAGACATTAAGTTAATTTATACTGTAAGTATCTAGCTGAAGTCTTCTCTCAAAACTTAACACACATATTCAAGCCTTCTTCACATAGCCCCCCATTATGAAATTTAATCAAAAAATTGAATTGTGCAGTCTTATCTTCACCTTCTGAAGAGAACCACAGCAGAACACCAAACAACCACACTCACTGTGACCACCCTGTGTGGTGTTATGAAAATGTGGTTGATCAGTAAGTGTATCATGCTGCTGTTCTGGCTATGTGCTCCTGTACAAACACAAGGGTGGCAGAACAGGGGAAAACTTCATTTAACCCTGAATAAAACAGGATTTACAGTGGTTTACTCCATTTGTATTGCTATTAGTGTGCAGCAACAACAGAATGCAACAGCTGAGGCCCTCCCCAAGCCCTTTTGAAAGTTAACAGTTACTACCTCTGTCCACAGATGGCATTTTCAAGTACTTTTAACAGAAAGGAATTCAGGAGGGTATTCATCTCCAAGTTCTTATAAAAAGCTAGAGATTTTCTCATAAAAAAGGAGCAAGAGCTCTACATAGACATTTAAGAGAAGGAAAGAAACTGCTTTGCTGAAACACGCACCAGGCAGCAAGTGGTTGACTGAAGTCATGCTGGTCAGCATTTCACTGTATCCATGATGCGATTTCCTGTGATAGTAATAGACTGGACTTGATGATGCAGCAGTTCCTACCTAGTTCCATGTAAAGCATTAGCATAGTTCCAACAGAGCCTCTGAGTGCACAGGAAAAAATAGGAAATAGCCAATGGAACACTAGTTGTCTAATGTAAAAAGCCAAGTACATTTAAAGCATCCAAGTGCTTTTTTCCAAAAACAACTTAAACACTTCAGAGCCTAGTTTCACAGAGTTAGTGGGAGTTGGGAGACTTATTTGAAGAATATTTTTTTTTAACCTTAGGTTGTTTTGGACCAAGGGAAAACTGCATTGGCACTGGCAACAGAGCTAAAGCTGCCAAATAGTTCCAACTCATGCAATTTTTGTAGCACAGGCAGTGCTTACGTACATACAATGCCTTAAATATTTGTCAGAGGCATTACAAAGCCTAGTTTCAAATTAACACCTTGGATTACACACTTTGTTGCCAGTGATTGTGACTACTTTTGTATTTGTACAGTGCCTAACGGAGCGGGCTTCAACCCTAGATCTAGGTCCCATGATATAAATGTCATGATACAAGATGACAGAAAAATCCTGGGAGTTCCTATGGATTTTTCTGTAAATCTTCATAAAATGGGCTCATCATTCTGACTATTCCAGCTTAGTCAGCCAAAGCTGGGTTCTGAGGGGGAAACAAACTATTACTCTGTTTGGAATTTAGTTTCTATTTAGATAACTGAAAGGGGAAAAAGTACTTTAAAGAAGAACTTTCTTAAGTCACACACAGCTCATTACAACTACCTACTCTTAAAGTGAAATTCTATATAGTCTTTGAACTTAGCAAAGGCAACAAGTGAAAAATGTTGCTGAAGTGTCCATGGTGCTGAATGCTATCCTTGTCTGCCTATCTCCTCTCACTGGCTTTAGGACTTGAAGGTGCTCAACATGTAGCTGGGGTCAGATTCCACAGGTTAAGTTATTTGTTCATAATTTAAACTAAGTTTACAGTACTAATCAATTACAAAAGACAATTTTAAGTAAAGTATATTGCAGTATAAGAATTTACTATAGCAGTCTCTTCTCTAGATGCTTTCTCCAAGAGGTGGGAATTTTTTTTCTATACAAGTGACTGTGTGGATTAGTACCGCTCTATTGTACATGTAGATAATTTAAAAGAAATCTCTTGGAAGAGATTCTGGCCCAAGTTCTTAGCTAGCACAGATTAGTACCTTGTTGACATCAGCAGTACTATACTGGTTTATAATAGCTGAGGATCTGGCTATTCGTTTCAATGCCTAACTGTAAACTTAAACTAGACAAAAGTTGCCTAATTAAGTACAGTGCATCTTTAGTAGTATGCACAGTATACTGCTAAGTGCACAGTAGTAGTATGTATGATTATGATTAACAGGTGCCAAGAGAAATTGCAACGAGAAGACGCCCAAGCAAAAAGAATCTTGCCCAAACCTGTTTAGAGGAGCACTGATACAAAAGTCTTTCTGAAGCTCACAATGCAAGCACTGTGATTTTTTGGTTAAAGACAGAGAGAAAACAGAGCAGAACTGAATTTGCTATTCAAATAACATGTATTTTTTTAAAACAATATTAATACATTTGCCCAGAATTCTTTCCCAATCTTTTGAGAATATAGCTCAATATTTTCAAAATGTACATAACTTGCAAAAACAATACTGATTAAAAAATGATGATTGATGGTACCTTAAAAATACCCAGAATATCAAACTCCTTCCAGTCCAGCATTACAATTAGCAGAAGAAGTCCTTCTGAATTTTTTTTCTTTTAACAAAGTATGGGTACTGAAATCGAAGTTCTAAGAAACACCATGAAGTGAAAATACCATCAATCTTCTGCATTTAAAAAAAAAAAGGAAAAGAAAATCAGAATGTTCTTTGGAATCAATGAGTTATCAAAACCTTGAGTTTTTCTAGTCTCTGCACCTTCTTTTCAAATCAGCCTGTTTGTGTACAGATCAAGTCTTTCAGCAGTTTAACAGCCACAGTCTAGAAATACAGAATCTCTGACCAGCAGGCAGCTACATTAAACAAGAGATATTGGCATATTTTTTATTAATGACTTCTGCCAAAAATAAAGACTGTCAAGTATGAGACAGAACATCCCTGTTTTTGGAGATTTTGTGTACTTCATGTGTGTATTTCCAGTGCAAAATTTTTTTTCAGCACTTGTGACAGGTGATATTGGGGGGTGGGGGATATAAAAGGAGAAAGAAACACATTCTCCTGCAGTCTTGCTTGCAGGTAATCAACAGCCATGAAATGTTGAACTACCAGGTTTCATTACCAGGTTAAAACCATTTCCCCAGTGCTGGCAATTTGGATTATCTTATTAAGGATTTCATTTCTAAGAAACAGATTACAGTTTAGCATGAAATCTGGCCATGGCTATTGTGTCGATGAGCATATAGATGTGTTAGAGATGCTTTCCCCTTTCAGTATTGGCTGGAAATGCTTAGAAATAAGTCCATTATATTTCTCCACGTGTCATGAAATGTGGGAGATCTGTCGGACTCTAGTCTGTATTTCCTGTCGACACAAAGGGCAGGTTTCCAGTTGCAAGGCACACTCCATGCACAGGTCACTGAAGAAGAGAAGGTCAGTTAAAATCTTAATTTATGGTATTAGTTGTTTAGCACAGATAACAGCCAGGCTCTAATAAATCCACTCTTTGTTACAATATTCAACCTGCAACAGAATAGGGGGCACCAGAATGGATTTACAGTGTTAGGGACTGCAAGAGACTAAATGTTCACAGCATCCACTGGAGTCAACAGAAACTCAAGATAAGCACTTTGCCAGGAAGCCTCAGGATCTTGGAAGGATTCAAACTTGAACTGCAGTTAAGTTTGCATCTATCTCTCTGATTTAATCTAAATAGGAGGCACAGTTTGAACAGTGGCAGTGCACAGCTCCTCATGCTTGCCTAAATCATGACTTATAAACAAGTCTGTCCAATTAATGTCCCTGTAGGCTGGCAGAGGGGGGAGCTGGGCTGCCCACACTGTACATACCATATGGTTGCACTGGGCAACACGTGCAGTGGGATTGGGGGGGGGCACTCACTTGCCCATGCATCCTGTGGCCCCCAATTCTGTGGCCTGTCAGATGAGTAGCCCCCAGCAGCCTAGAAGTTAGCCAACAAGTCAGGGTTGTCCAAGTAGACAGTCAAAAAGCCTGAGGCCGATTCGATTCAATCTTTGCAGGTTTCTCTATGCTGCCTAGATTGGACCAATAAGCAAGTGAACTAATGTTCACTTTTCAAACAGGTAAGGCAGCCAGACCCCTGCAGGGCCCATGCCAATAGCTAGGGGGCACTAGAGCACACCTCCCAGCCCGCAGGCCACTGCAGAGAGCTGGAAGCCCTCCAATTCCCTAAGCCACATCCCCTCTATAGCCTCCCAAGGGCTGAGGCAAAAGCGATAGAGATGCCAGTGGCAGGGCCTTGGCTCTGCCCCTCAGTGGCCTGGAGGTTAAAGGGACATGGGGCTAGAGGACTCCAGCTCTGCTCCTGGCTCTAGGGGACATAGCCAAGCCCTGGTGCAGGCTTCTCTCTCTACCCAGCCAGCAGGGAGCTGAAAAAGGGGTGTGTGGCCCCTGGCTCCCTGCTCTGGGGGGCAGTCAAGCCTCAGCTGCAGGCTCACCCTCCCCTCCCTGGGCCAGCAGCATCTGGCTGGGGGTCTGGTTCTCTCCCCACCTGACCCCCACCTACCAGCAGAACCCAGATGGGAGTCTGATACTAGGCCAGAGGGGTGGGTTCCTCCCCACCACCGGCATCCAGAGAAGTGATAGTGCTCCAGCTAGGGAGCAGAGGGGTGGGGCAGACCCTGCTCACTGGGGCAGACAGCACAGCCCAGGGTTGCAAAGCATCCTGGGATGCTGGGGGACTGAGTTAAACTTGAACCGGGAGGGGATCTGGGACAGAAGTTCCATAAACCAGTTTGACCTAAATCAGTTATGTCTGATTCTACATCCAGCCAGGTTTATCTTAAACCAGCTTCAGCCATTTTGAAAGCAGTTGAAGGGCACTGAACTTCTGTTCTGTTACAGGTTTAAACTAGTTTCTGATCACTTAAAGAGTCTGTGTCTAACTTCTGTCCCTAGCTGTTATGTCAAGCTTGAGAGGTATAAAGTGAAGCATATTCTGCATGCCCACTCAGTCCTTTAAGGACTGCCAACCAAAAAGGTCAGTTGTAATACTAGCTTGATAAAGATTTCCAAGGAATTAAGAGCAATACTTACAAATAGAAATGTATTTCATATTTAGTTGCTTAAAAGCCATTATGGTGACTGGACAGGTCTACATGTTCATTAATGTGCCATAATTATGGCACATTAAGTTTAGTACCTGTAATACATAACAGGTACTAACTTAACGTGCCATAACCTCACTACTGTGCATTAGTGCAGATGAATGCTTTTTCTGGTGATGCCAAATGCGCATTAAACTAAGTCTACTGCACATTAGCATGCTTTTTGCATAACGCGTTAAGGTGCCGTAAAATTAAATCTAATGTGCATTTAGTGTCTCATTGTTGATATGCCCGTTGTCAAGTACTTAACTACTTGAACCTTCAAGTCACCTGTTGAGATACAAGGATCCAGATCATAACAGCTTTGTGGCATGCTCCCCATCCCATTCTCACCCCCTCTGCCAAATTTCCTTTCTTGAGTATAAAAACCTGCATCTGAAACCTAGGTATTATTTTATTTGTTTGAAAAAGCATTTTCCAGACCAGTTAGATTTGGCAGTGCAGGGTCTGTGTAAAGTTAAACACTCAAAAGGTTAGCAATTCTGCACATATGCTACTGGTCTTAAATCTTTTGCAAGGGGAGATGTTGGTCATATAATTAGAGTTTTTCCTGTACTCTTTTCAAGTCGTGAAAGGGAGGAGTCTCTCTACAGGTTAAGGAATCACCTAGAACAGGGAGAAGTGTGTACACACACACACACACACACACACACACACACAGTGCCCCAGACACACAGAATCTTTCAGTTTAATTTACCTGTGTCCACATGGCCTGAGTTCTGTGTCTGCTATCTCATCACAGCAAAGCGTGCAGCAGTTCTCTCGGATGCTCACTTGCTTCAACAAGGCCAGACGTCTATGTCTGAAGAAATACAAATATGCAAACGCACACACAAATACTTATGAAGTGATTTTTTCTGGTTTGAATGTAGTTAAGTGATCAGGCTACTGAATGTAGACCAAGACCATGTGTACATAAATAATTCCTGACATAATTATTTACCACAGTTGTTTCATGTCACTTAAAAACAAAATCAGAAAAAAAAAAAGTCATAAATAAGGAGAATCATTATTTGGAAGTCTTTGCCCTTCACTGCATTCTGGCCTATGCAGTAGAGAAGGCTAAGAGGGAAGGTTACACTAAATCAGTGGTTCTCAACTTTTTGCACCTTACATCCCACCTACGTAAGGTCAAAAAATCCTGGTCCCACCAGTCGACAAGCAGAGGAGGCAGGGGGGTGTCCCCCAGAGGCCAGTTGAAGAGTGGGGAGGGGAGGGACTAGCAGCTAATTGAAACGCGCAAAAGCAAAACTAGAAGTCCGGCCATGGCACTTCCAGTTTCGCCACCATGACCTGAGTCCCACCTAGAGAACCTTCACGCCCCAAACAGTGGGACACATCCCATTAGTTGAGATGCCTTGGACTAATTGACTTAACTGGTCTTTTGCTTTCTGTTTCCTCCAGTTTGTAAAACCTGAATGCTTCTAACGGAAACACATTTAATTTTGATAAGTCACCTGGCAGAAACAGGACTTTTTAAAATCCTTGAAGTCCACAGAGATTCAGAGCCCATATCACGCTGCAAGATGGGTTACAAGAACAAACAACCCAAGGAAGGCTAGCCAGAATGGAAAGGAGAGTATAGAGGGTAGGATCAAAAGGAAGATCCCAAAACAGGGTCAAAATAGGCAGAAGAGCCACATACAAATGGCACCGACACCAGGAAAAAATAGTTTTACTCTTAATACTATGAAACTCAGGTGATAAACCAATGAACTATTAGATTCTGTCAAGAAAACTTGTATGCAGTTGGATGGACCTCCTACAGCATGGAGAAGAAAAAAAAATACTATATCTTTTTATCAGTACATCTGGAATGAACACCAGAAAAGCTGAAAAGAAAAAATAGCCAACCTCCTCCCCTACTCACAGAACATAAATATGTCTACAGTCTCACTGAAGTTCAGTGCAACTCTCTGCAGGAGTCTGTCATAGCTGGTACAATGTATGCTTAGGCCCTTAGCCCTCTACCCTCCTTACCCTCTGCATCTCATATTGCAGGTCAGTACCAGGTCTCAATACCTAATGGTAGCTACAGGTACCCAATAGAGGTGCACTGATATAATCGGTGCCATATTGGATCTGCACTGATAAAAGGAAAATTAACATTATCGGCTTTTTTTGGCCAGTGTAGCCAATAATGTCACTGATAAATATCATATGCTTTCTGACAGCCACAGTATGCATATGACCAGGAATGCAGCCGGGCAGTGTAGACAGCAGCACCCTGCAGGTAAGTCTGTGGAGGGGAAACGGGTCGGGCGTTAGATTGAGGCCTCCACAGTGAGGGAGGAAGTGGGGCAGGGATAGGGGCCGGGGGTACTGCCCAGCCAGGGTGGTGAGTAGGACCCTGGGGCTGGGGTGGGGAGCGGGATGGAGCCATAGGCAGCTTGTCCAGGGGAATCAGCGCTCACTCCCAGAGCAAAGGCAGCAGGATAGAGAGCCCTGAACCTGCAGTGGGCAGCCAGCACCTGCCCTGCTCAGCTCCTAAAAGCATCCCCGTGCTTAAAAATGGTGGTGGCTCTGTTTGACCTAAGCTCATTTGACGAGCTTTCGTTCAAGCGCCCCCCATCACCATTTTTAAGTGCCAGAATGCTGATCTCCTGGACGAGCTTCCTGCAGCTCCATCCTGCTCCCTGTCCTGGTGCTGGGGTCCCAATCACCGCCCTGGCTGGGCAGTACCCCCAACCCCAGCCCCTGCCACACTTCCTCCCTCACTGTGGGGGCCTCAATCTGCCCCCCACCCCGCCCAAAGACTTACATGCAAGGCTCTGTTCTCCACGCCGCCTGGCTGTGCTCCTGTAAATTGGTTATTGAACTGGTATCAGCCAATTTGCCTGGTGAATAATGAACTACCAGTATCGACCAAGAAAATCTTTATCAGTGCACCCCTGGTACCCAAGTCCCTCCAGAAAACAACAGGGTACTTTCACTCACATATTTCAATATGGTTTTGATGTCCATCTTTAAAGCAAAATTTTAATCTTTGGTGCTGATGTGCTTTGACCAAGATTACAGTTAAGTGGAAAAATAAGAATCACTGGATCATTGTCCTATGCTCCAGCTGCTTAGTACCTACTTCTGGAATTAGACATGACTTTTCCTTTTTCTTTCTTTCTTTCTTTTTTTGACAAAAGTGCAGAAATTTATGCTGGCCCAACACAAATCTTAAAACTGTTCACAAGCTTTGAATTGCCAGGCCATCCAACTACATCTCTCCTTCGTAGCATCATTCATAGAGGAGGTATTTGTATTCCGAGAACAGTAAATTACAGCTTTAACTCACTTGCAAAGTGTTTCAAGTGCTGGCAGTGTCACAAATTAGGTCATTGTTAAAATAAGACTCCAATTTTTAACAGAAGAAAAACAATTTTAATTAATGTCAAAGACCATGCATGTATGGTAAAAAGCCTTTTTAACTATATGTAGTTAAAAAGAAAACAAACCACTGTGGTAGTGAGAACTGGTTCAGTTTAAAAAACGAAAGTTCAATTTAAATTTAAAGGCCAGAGCAAGAAAAATATGGCCAAGTTTAACACTTACATTCATGCCAAATCACTTTGCTGAACTGGGGCCTAAAGTCTAGCCCTTATTTGAAGGCACATTAATGCCATTCAGAAGTGATCCCTTATAAACAGAAAACTTAAGTATTGTGTCAGACAATTTAAACTAGCAACTGAACATATGGTGTTCAAGCCTAAATGGCTAGTATGAAGTGTTCTAAACAAGTAGAAAGATTACCTTGGTAAAATTATTTTCTCTTCCATTGTCAAGAAGGCATAATCATTAAAGGTGCTAAATCTGGCTGATGGTGGATACTTGAAAGGTTTTGCTCCAAAATTGAACTCACACTGTTGATAGGACATAAAACTTGCTGCAGCAAAAAAGCCAGATCTGCATTTTGAAATACAGAAGGAATATCTCAGGATCACGTTAGAAAGCAACAATAAAGAACATACTGACTGTAGCACTTTTATTACTACATAAAAATACAGCCCACCATGAGACAAAAGAACAATTTTCTTGACCCTGTAATCAAAATCAGAGCTAATTGAGAGGGAAATTCCTAGGAACCCAATTTTAGCCGCACACAATTCCTGGTTTGAGTCTTCACTTCTGAATCTAAGAGATGAACCAAGCCTGCTGCCACAATATGCCAAAGTTTGTACAGGCTACACCTCGGGAGTACGTGTACCCATAGTTTCATAGTTTTAGGGTCAGAAGGGACCTAATAGATCTTCTAGCCCGACCCCCCGCCAGGGCGGGAGAACAACAAAAGAACCCTAAAAGTAAAAAACGGGACTCAAATGACTCCAGCCAGGTAGGTATCCAGCCTCTTCTTAAAGATCCCCAGGGCAGGGGCCAGCACCACCTCCCTTGGAAGTGGGTTCCAGCTCCTAGCCGCCCTAACTGTGAAGTAGTTTTTTCGGATGTCCAATCTGTACCTCCTCTCCATCAACTTGTGCCCATTACTCCTTGTTATGCCAGCGGGGGCTAGGGGCAACAGCGTCTCCCCCACACCCTTCTGGTTCCCCCTAGTGAGTTTACAGACGGTCACCAGGTCCCCCATCAGCCTTCTCTTGTGGAGGCTGAATAGGTTCAGGTCCCGCAGTCTCTCACTGTAGGGTCTGCCCTGTTGTCCCCGGATCATGCGGGTGGCCCTCCTCTGGACCCTCTCCATGTTATCCACATCCCTCCTGAAATGGGGCGCACAGAACTGGACACAATACTCCAGCTGCGGCCTGACCAGCGTCGCATAGAGGGGGAGGATCACCTCCCTGGCTCTACTCGAGATGCACCTGTGGATGCACGACAAGGTCCGGTTATTATCCTTTAACAAGGTCCATGTTAAAGGATAATACAGTACATACACCCAAACAGACAAGAACTATTCTTTACCCTGTTTTTCCCAACCAACTATGATCTGTTGCCCCACAACTCAGCATTTCGACAAGAGTAATTATTTTTTGTTGAGTTCGGCAGCTAGAGGTTGGCATTTTGAGGAACAGGATAAGGAAGTCCATACATATTATCACTATTTCATCTCCTTACTTGCTAAGGTACAAACATGGGGAGCAGAGGGCAAGTTACGAGCATGTACGCAGCATACAACCTAGGCAACATGTGAACTCTTGGCTCTGCACCTTCTTAGTAGTACTTCCATAGGGTAAAATCCATCAATTTCTTCTAGTGTTTGCTGGCTAAGCCCTTAGAAGCTATACCTTTTTCTCAAAGATACCTAACAAAGCTTCCCAACCCCCACACCCCTTTTAGTTTTATCCAACAGAAAGGACTCCCTTCTTCAAATTTTAAATCCTAAAAGGATCTAGGAAAGTATATTAATACAATCACATTAAAAATACAAATAAAGGCCACAATACTGCATACCATATTTTGCAATTTGCCAACATTCAAAAATCAAAAGCTACAATATTACAGGAAGTATTCTGCAATTTGCCAAAATAGCATGAATATTTTTCTTGCCTTTAGAACTTAGTTTAGCAGGGAAAACAGGTGGGCAAGGACTGTGCATGAATAGCAGCACGATTAAGTACACAGTCTTGAAATAATAGTTCTCCACACTTTTAAGAGGGAGCTCTATTTAATAATACATGGCATCTGGGGCAAGTAAATATAATTTCAAGTTTTTAAAAGCATGACTATTTTCCCTGTAATTCATGGAAGCCATTATCCAGATGGCATATTCATTCTTGCCTTTCAACATACACACACACACACACACACACTTACATAGCAGATGAGAACACTTGTTTTTCAGCCGGAAGCTGGTTTCCATTTAAATAGAAGATCATTTGCTTTTCTTGTAAATCTAGTAGAAATCCAATTGTGTCTCCTTATATGCAGAACACAAAAATGTTTTAGGATCAAGTTTCAGATATTTATGGCTTTAAACAAATAAACACAATTATGAGTTGAAGATACTTTTGCAGAAATATTAAGCACTCACTATGAGTAACTTGGCAAAGGAAACTACTATTTGAGCTCTCAGGAAGGAGAAGAGTTACTTGGCAGAGTAAAAGGGATATAACTAGGAGGGAATGGGATGAAATTAAGGAACGCAAGTTTAGGTTGAATTGCATTAAAAGCAATAGAGGTATAAACCATGTAATCTCAAGCACTCAACATTTAGCAAAAGCTAGAATTAAGTTCCCCCCCACCCCTTCCAATTTCTTCCTGGCTTGAGCATGCCCAATTCAAGCAATCTTAAGAACGTAGCAGTTACATTCTTGAATAGAAGTCCCTACCAAACATGCACAAATTGATTTTTAAGGAGACTTACAATTTAGCCAAATTTGGGCAGGTTCTTATGAGAACTGCAAAAGGCAATCCCTTGTCAACAAACACCACCTTCTCCGCACTAAATTTCAAGCCCCAGCTCCAGAGAACAAGGAAATAGAGTGCTTTCAAAGAGAAAAAGTTGACACGGGCGGGGGGGGGGAATAATTTTTCTTCCCTAAATATGGTTTCCTAAACAAATTAATCCTTTTTGCTGAAACAAAGTGGTTTCAATCTGAGGCAGACACCTGCATGAACAATTTCAGCCTGAATGGTTTAAAGGTTGGCAAAATTATAAAATACTGAAAACTGGGTCTTTTGACAGGAAGTGTCAGGCATCTCAGCTCTAAGCGGTACTACTTAGCTGTGTCTAGAAAGTTGATGAGAAAAAAATTCCAACGGCAAGATCTTTTATGTGATAGAATGCCTCCCATGGAAGTAGTTGATTTTCTCGATACATTTAAAAGACTAGGCAAAACACTAATGTCCAGTAACTAATAAACCTTCAGTGGTAAGAGATTAACAGTGGGGAGGGCCAACCTTTTTGATATGCATGCCATGAATTATCCCCACACTCTCCTAAGTGCCATTTCTATCCCCTTCTCTGCTGCTCTGCTTTCTGGTTTATCTGCTGATGTGCTGCCTGTCTCCTACTGGGTCTGCTGCATGCCACACAAAGGTTGCCTGTGCCACATGTGCTGCAGGCTGGCCACACTGAACTAGACTGACTTCATCTACACAGTCTGTGTAGAATATTCCTCGCACAAGTCTTCTAGCATGAATCCTGTGGAGAAAGCAAGCTAAAACAGCTGCTACAAGCCGGAGAGAATACCTTCTTTCCAACACGGGTGGGAATGCGGTTTACTTCTGGCATTATACCAAATCAGCTGCCGGCAGCCGTCATATGCGCAGGAGTACTCGTCGTCCCCAATACCGTAACCTTCCTTTAGAAAAACAAAGCATAGCATTTCAATCTGCAGCCTTTTTGTGGGAAAGGGCTGGAAGTCTATTTATATAGAAGCAAAGCATCCATTCTAAGAATATTATTGTTTAAAAGATTTTCTACTTAGTCTCATACACAAGTCAGTTTCTCTCTCCTTTCCTTTTTTCCCCCCATTTAGAAAGGTATCAGATCTCCATTAGGTCATTTATTCCACTCTCCCAGCTTCCTTGGGAAAAAAAGAAAAAAGATACTTCCAAGGTCAAAGGGGTTTCACTCGCTGAAAACAACTGTTCTTCAATATAATACTCATGAAAAATGAAGGAGCTGCATTAAACCGAATTGATTATAGAACAAGTAGGTGCCAGGTGAGCTTCCCCCCTCATGCTGACCTATGTGCTGCAAATTACTTGCTAACAACAATCTATCAGGTGTGTATTTTATATATGAGCATAAACAAGAGCTTCAGAGGATGACAAGACAAGACAATGATTCTCTAAGAGATTATTGTACTCTTGCTCACCCATGTATTGAAATATTTCCCATGTCAGAGGGAGTGTGGCTTACTGGCTAGAAAATGTGGGATGGAAAATTTTCCAAAACAGAACATTTTCTGGTGCTTTATTTTTCCATGGGAAATTTTCCATTTCTAAAGATTGATTGTTTCATAAAATTCATTAGTAACAATGAATGAATGCCAATACAATATTAGGCAAGCTTGGCAGTTTCAAAGTGTAATTAATGTTTTTCAGGTGATTATCCCTAGGAAGTGTAAGAGAGAATACATATATGTACTACTGATTTGTAAACAGGAGGGCAAATACACTCACATAATAATCCAAACCAAAAATCAAGCTATGAAGTCACCTAAATTGGCTGTGCAGGTCAAATCAAAACCAAAGCTAAAATGTTTATTTCATCTAAGTGCTTGCATAAGATCTGTTAGTTTTTGGTTTGTGTTTTTGGTTTAAAGTAGTCGTAATAATGCCTAATCAGAAAAAAAATAGTGTGTGGCATCATTATAGTGAAATTCAAGCCACTGAAGGAAGGAAGAAAGTTGGTAGATGTAAATATTGCGGGCTGGAAAGGAGTATGTTAACAATGCAACAAGAATGAAGAAACATTTAACAACATGTAGAAACTGTTCTTAGAGAGTACAAGCCATATACAGAAAGCTAATACAACAAAAAGTGGTGGAACATCATCTGAGAAAAGGCTACTTCAGGAATCTTGTGTAAGTAAACAAATTAATATGTTAAACAACACACAGTATAGACTAGCATCTATAGTGTTTTAAAACACTAATTTTAGAAGCTGTTAATGCAACTCTGGAATATTATTTATTTATTTAAAATATTTGTATCCTGATTTCTGCTTGCACTAAGCACCCAAAGTGGCTTAGGCTTAACAATAATTTTTTTCAATTACATAATAGATAAATAGTTAACTATTTCAATGCAGCAGAGCAAGCTTAGACCTCTGGCTGATGGCAGAGGTCAAACTATACTTCCCTTTGGCTCTGCAGTCCCAAGGCAACTGAGCAGAAAATTGAGCAGCAGGGTGTTCTTTTTGCAGGGAGGGGGGGAAGCAAGCTCCCTGCCGCTTCTTCTCCTTCTGATGGATGAGGCCAGACTAGAATAGGCTAAAATAAAAATATTTTCCCCCTTTTGTGCAGGAACTTGGTAGCTCAAGTGAAATAGCAGATTAGAATGGACAATGAAAATGTTGAGCTGCCAGGTCTGGGGGAAGCAGCAGCAGGATCCTCACTTTCAAGGTCACTGCCACCAGATACGCGATCCACCATGAGTAGTTGTTCAAGACAGTCAAGCTTTTTAATCGAGCTTTGTAGACAAAATGTCAAAAGAAGATCAAGAAAAAGCAGATGAGACATTAGCTTGAGATATATTTGCAAGTGGTACACCTCTTTCCATAACTGAAAATCAATACTGGAAGGAACATTACAAACTGATTCGCCCATCATATAAGTTACTGACACGTTATCGCTTATCTCATTCTCTCTTAGAGAGTGTGACAGAGTTCAAACAGTGGTTATTCAAAAGACTGGTCAAGCAGAATCACTGACTCTGACGTCAGATTGATGGACTGATATAATAATCCTTTATTGAACATTATGATAGCAACACCATGACCCGAAACAATATTCCTGAAAGCAATTGCTACCAAATCTTCGCGCCATACAAGTGAATACATAGCTAAATTACTGAGCGAAGAGATTGAAAGTGCAGGTCCCCCCAGGGTACAAGCCCTTGCAACTGATAACGCAAGTAACATGAAAGCTGCATGGCAAATAAAGGCAAAGTATTCTCATTTAATAGCTTTAAGCTGTCTTGCTCATGGATTGAATTTTCTGGCAAAGGACATAGTAAGTTTAAATACAATGAAGACAATGTTGGCAAACTGCAAAGCGATTATGAAGGTATTCAACAATCATGCTGCTAATCAGGCTTTGAAGAAATTACAGAAAGAGAAGCAGGGGAAGGAAAGTGCACTTCTATTGCCAGGACCAACTAGATGGGGCTCAGCTACAAAGTGTTCACATTGTTTGCTGTGCACAAAGAACTGTATGCAGTGTGCTTCAATAGATGCACACAGTATCCCAGATTACTCCCGTGAACATTCAGAAGCAGATTTTCGACAATGTTTTGTTCTGGGTTTGAGTTCAAGGAGCATTCTATTTGATACTACCAGTTTCAGTGGCTATCAAGAAACTTGAAGGAGATGCACCAAGCCTTTCAAATATTCCAGAGATATTCAGACAACTGAATGAGCAGACAACTCAATCTAATTGAGCTTTTGCTTTCTTCACCTCTATCCAAAAAAGAAGTAGCAAAACAAATGTTTATTAAGAGATCTGAGTTCTGCTCTCTGTTGCAGGGCACTAAGGTGTCTGCTCCTTTAAGGGCAAAAACTGCCTAGGGCAGAGCTTTCCAAACTTTTCATGTTGGTGACACACTTTTTAGACATGCATCATTTCGCGACACAGTAATTCAGTTCCGGGGGAGGGGCCAAGGGAAGCAGACGCGAGTAAGGGAGCTCTGCGGTGCCCTTCCGCAAAATTTTCTGCATTTCGCGTGACACACCTACACACTGCCACCGACACACTAATGTGTTGTGGCACACAGTTTGGAAAGCTCTGGCCTAGAGAGAGGGCCCTAGCAGGCAGGCAAAACCCCCACAGGTGCAGGTTACTGTGGCAGCAGGCTAATGAAGGAATTAGCATGCACCTGCACCTGGTCAGCTGACTGGAAGAAGGCAGGTCCCTGGGCGTGCACAAACCCCAGGGCTGGGACTAGGGGATTAATTCTCTGGCATCAGCTGAGAGGGAAGGAGCTCTCATAAAGGAAGCTACTTGGAGATGCTTGACTGCCTGTTCTGATGCTGGCAGGATTAAGGGGCTATAAGAGCTCATAAGTGCTGGTGGGGAGGAGGCCCATTAAACAGAGAGAAGCTTGCCTTCTTAAAAGGGAGAGTGTGGACCCTATATTATTGTTGTGTTGTAGCCCAGGGCATTGTGCTTTCTGTTGTTATTTAAACCGGTAGACTGGGCTGAGGAAATTAGGGAGGAGGCGGCCTCATTGGGGCACACTACATTGTGGAGACACCAACGCCAGAGGGGGCACAGCGACAGGGGCTGCAACAAGTCCAGTGCCCAAGGGGCCAGTTACTGAGGCTGAACTAAACTGAGGCCTCAACACGAGAAGATGTTGTCTACATGCCATCTGTGAGGCATGGGGCGTGATAAAGGAGAGGTTTGGAGTCATGCCCATAAGGCTTGAGGGTATTATAAGGCACCTCCTAAGTGTGGGACCCAATAAGGGGTCCAACAACCCACAGGGTTTAGAGAAGTCTGCCAGGACTGACCGAGCAGCAACTTGAGGGCAGCCTCCCAATTCATCATTTATACCAGCAAAACGTAGCAGACGAGATTAGTAGGTGCCCATAGGGCAGAGCCAGCACGGTCACGGTGCCCTAGAGACATCACGGCCATCCCTGGGGAGGCCATATCGTGACACTCTCATCCAGTTTATCTGACAGCAAACCTTTTGGATCCCTCAACAGAGAGGACAACATTTATCAGAAGATTAATTATCTACTGCTCTTCATACAATTATGGAAATAGTTAAGGATGTCCCTAACATTAACAAAGTAGCCGTGATGACATACATTGCCCAGTATCCTGCAAAAGAAACTTTGGAGCAAAAATGTCATTTGGCAAGCTGCAGAGAATAGTCTCCTCTCACATGGTGAAAGGGATACTGTAACACCCGACTGTCCAGGGTTGCTCTAAGGATCCTAAGCACTCCACCAACAGCATCTTGTGAATGGAACTGGAAGGCTTTCGGCTCAATCAAGACAAAAAAGAGAAATAGACTAACAAATGAACGCACCGCCAAGCTTGTTTCTATTTTTCAAAATCTCTTGCTTCTGGAGAACCAGTCAGAAGCACAATTAGTGAAGAAGATGCAGTGTGATGATAAATTGCCCTTGCCTACAGACTCATTGGTAAAACCATCCTTTAGTGAAAGAGAATGTAATTCAAGTAGTTCTGAATCAGATTTGCCTCAATCTGACTCTGAAATGGAACTAATAAGTAGTGCAAATGATTCTACAGAGAGTGAAACTGGAAGTGCGCGAAGACCTCAGTGGAAGATAGTTAAACTCTGTTGAAATAGATGAATGGATAACCATGGCATATCATGCACAGTTCTTTGAGTGTGCTAAAATTAGTGTGTTAACAGTTTTCAGTACCTTCATTTTTTTTCTTAAACAATGTAAGGGAAGTGCATGCTATTGTGCACTGTCTTTACATTTTTACCAGTATTCCAATAAAAATAATTTCTTTCCACATAACACTCTGAATTTGTTTAAATATAACATTTAAACCATATAAAGAGTGCAGTATTTTTTTTTCCTAATCAAATATTTCAGTTCAAATACTTGTGGCTATTGGGACACAAAATTAAGATGGGGGTACTTTTTAAATTTTGTTTAGTAAATATAAGTCAAATAAACATGCTAAACCAGATCATACTATTTAGGGCACTGGAAGTTTTCCAATTCAAAATTTTCCAGAAAACCCACATCTCTGCTACTGGCCAGGAGTTACAGGTTTTATGATTTGCCACTGAGTTAGAAAGACATTGGCAAGTTCAGTTGGTAGGTGTGTTTCTCCACACTGAGATAAGAAAATCCTTTCATCATCCATGTGAAGAAAAGTTACTGTCTGCAAACTGTTCAGAGCTTCTTCAATGAAGGGCTCTATATTTTATTTTATATTTTACAATAAAACAAGTTACCTAAATAGAAATATTTACTTTTTATGTAGGCAAGTCATCTCTAAGCTCCAAAAAGTACACTCAAATTCAAGAGAACTGACAAAGCAAGAAGAAAATGTGTATTAACCATTATTTTCAGGTAAAAAAGTGATCATAAGCAACAAATTTGTAGGAAAAACCCAATCCCTGGTCTCACATTCAAGGTATCAGGAATATACCATAAACGAAAGAATTCCCAGTCTCGTCACTAAGCCCAACTGGGAAAGCAGTCAATTAAATAAATATACTCTCTGAAGGTGCATGCAAACTGCCTCTACTGGCTGGGACTGTGCAACCAACTAGTTTGGAGAAGAACAGTTTTTTTCCGCCCCCCCCCCATTCTATAGGTCTGAATACTGTCAAGGAAGCTAATGTTTCTAACCAGCAAGTCTCCAATGTCCCCAATTATAGCTCATTAATTCAGATAATTAATTTCAAAGATTAAAGTGATAAATAACCCTAAATAGTTCTCACACTATACAAATAAAAAACACATGACGCCATTTGAACTGGCTAACAAACAATCTTGCCATGATGTGTTTTTAAACAAAACAAAGGAGTAATTTCATTTGCTAAGGAAAAACCCTTATAATTAGGTCTTTTGTTGTCTTTAAAGCTGTACTTTATCCTAAGCTTGCACTGATTAGTGCTTGCATAGAATATACTTTTTAAAAAGTACACACATCTAAGCACTAAGAATGTGTATCATGTTAACCAAACAGAGAAAATGTAACATGGAAAGAAGGTAGCTTTTATGGAAGAAGTCAGGAGGAAGATGGAAGGTTACTAAACTGGCAAACAGCTCAATCTACTTTAATTCTTGCTTTGACTAATGCTTATAAAATGCCATTGTTGGCACCAGAGTGAAAGAGGTTAGGGTACACAGAAGAAAGTTGCATTAATAAAGCGGTGTAGTTGAATGGTCTGTGCTCCTATCCTATGGAGGAGAAGTTAAACAGAAGCTAAATTGCACTTTAGCTTTGCTTACAGATAGACTGCAGGGGAAAGACAGAATGAGTGTGCATCAGTTGATCCATGAAACTCTTATTCTGCAATAAGTGAAGCTGAACTGCAGTGGCTTACCCTTGCTTCATTCAGGGTCCCAAAGCCACAATTCATTGCTTACTGAGGACAGGAGCAGACAAGACAAAGAGGTTCCTGAGAGTGAGCCTCCCTCTCCTTTAAAACAATGTCATTTTACATGCATCTATGCCCTGAGAAAGCTCAGGGATGCTAGCTTCATTACAGTTTAGAAAATCCTTATTTTCTAGTCATCAAAAATGTAATAGTAGAATAGTCTATGAAAAGCCATCTAATGGCTGCTTGATGGCCTAAATAAAGAGTGGATGATAGGCATGCATTTATTTCACAAACACACACCAAAACTGGCAGTGACCCTTAACCTGCAATCAGAGTAGAAATGCCAAGAACTGTTCATAAGATGATATTCACTGCCTTCCTACTTCTTCCAATCAGGGTTGAGGTACACTATTGTGCAGGTGCGAAGAACTGGCAGTGTTGTTCGCTGTGCTATGCAATATGGGCAATGCCAATTTATAGTAGTGTCAAACCATCACTTTTAATGTTCACTAACTTCACTAAGAATAACCATTCAGCACCCGGAAAATGAAGTTTCATGTGTTTAATATAATGATTAGTTAAACATAAATGTAAAAACAAAGTTATTTGCATAGACATTGTACCCAAAGAGAGAGGTAACAGAATTACATAATCTGCTGCATGATCTTACAGGTACTCACATGATTGAGAAATTTGCTATCTTTGGTGGCCCATCCTATCTGCATCACTCCTGAAGTGATTACTTTGACTTCATAGTACCAAATTCCAGAATCAACACAGAACGTACATCGCACACTTTCAAAAGATGAGGCATCACATCGAGCCTGACAAAACCAAAGTGGAAATCACATTTAAGTAATAGTGGACATTCACAACATCATACAAGAAAAAAATTTAAGAGATCTTCAACTTCAGTCCAACTGCAGCCCTCCTCATTCGCAATGAATGGCCATGTAACAGCTTTCATTAGAATCTCATTAGCAGTGGATCAAATGGAAGGCAGCCCCAGAAAAGAACAACAGGAGTGATCAGGGTTTGAGAACATCTATTTAAAGATTTAAAAAGGACAAAGTGGAAAACCCAATATATAAACAAACCACTGGGCATAAATACCAAGGAGGAGAAGAAATTTAGTGTCATGGGGAATAACATTTAGAAAAGGAACTTTTAACCTGAATATCAGGGCAAACTTCTTTGTAGAAATGGAAACACCACAGCTTTTGGCTTTTATATTAAACAGGGAAAGAACCAACAGAAAATTAAGTTTAAGGATTAAATCTGTACAAGGGGGGGAAAAATGGTCAGTTGGGTCTAAAGAATTTCTTTGAACTTCTGAGACTTAGACAAGGATAGTATATTACAGTGATCCTTTCTGGTACTGAAAGCAGGTTAATGATATTAAAGGCAATTAACAAAGCAGATTTTCTTTACTAGTTTGAGGCAAGCTTTGAAATATCACCTTGCTGATCCTTGGAAGAAAAAAATGGGAACAAAGAGAAAAAACTGAAATGGATGAATCTTCAAGTGGAATTTCACAGTAAATCAAGATATAGCCTACCTCCAGTCCATGTGGTGAGATCTTAAGGTATTCACTGACATCATTACTATTCAGCATGGCTCTAATATTGGTCAAGTCAACCTTCTCATATGTAAACTCTCTGCCTTCTTTTAAAACTGTATAAGAAAAATAATTTACTTTGAAAAGTGCGGTGGCAGTAACAATTCAAACCCAATTATTCGATCCCATTGAAGAGCTACACTTTAAGAAACCAATTCACTCTTGACAGATTTTACCGCAGCTTTGGCAGTGGACCGGCCTAAATGCAATATCATTCCCAGTGGCACCCCACTGGGTGCTAAATATTTTCTGAACAATCAAGGACAGTCCCTGCTTCTGAAAACATAGTCCTACTAGGTAACTGCTCCTCTCAAGGAATCTCAAATGCTACAGAGACTGGAACACACAAGAATCCAGCTACGAAATTCCCATAGACACCAATCTCCACATCCATTTCACACTTACTCAAAAACCTATGGTGTAGCATTTACCCCATGTTATTATGAATTATCTACTGGTTGTTAACCATCTCAGAAACGCGATCAGGAGACTGCAGAATGCCAGGACTGCATAGACCCAGGAAATGTAAGTCACAGTACTGCTATATGCTATGCCATAGAAACTGCTCTCTAGCTTTTCCTCCAAATCATTCCTCTTCACACAGGAGACAAAGAGATGCACTTAGCCCAGGGGCAGGCAATTATTTTGGGCAGAGAACCACTTACTGAGTTTTGGCAAGCCATTGACAGCCGCATGATAGGCAGCCAGGGGCAGATAAATATTAATTTTCTAAATTTTTTAGGGGCCCTGTGGGGCGGATAGAATGGCCAAGCAGGCCGCATCCGGACCCCAGGCCGCATTTTGCCCACCCCTGACTTAGCCCAACAGGTTGCGAGATTAACATGAAAACGATAATTTACAAAATACAAGCCTTATTCAGGGAGCATAATATATATGCCCCAGACTCTTTATAATGCAACTTATTGATGCTGGCCTAACACAAAAGCAAGATAAGCCACTGTCTAAGGTCAGCCAAGTAATTTTACCTTTTTATCCCAGTGCCTAAACAAAGGCAGACCATTTCTGGGATCTTACAAATCAACTTGGCAAGTCACAATTTTGGGTCCACTAATTATCATACCAGGCCACGTACAACATAATGACATGCCAGAGAGCTATTCTAGCTACTCTTCATTAGTTTCTTAATTATGATAATCCATCATAGTTGTTGCAGGGGGTTGTGTGTGCATGTGTGAGCACACACATGCATGCAGCAGCCAGGCAGCAGTGGAGAGCAGCTCCCGTAACTCCTTCCAGGTAAATCCATGGGGGGTGGAGGGGAGAGGAGGCACAGGCAACACATCAGGGGGGCAGGAGGTGGGGGGGCACATGCGATGCATGGGTGGGCACATGCCCCCCATGTCCACAGCAGGGTGCGGGGTTGCAGCGGGGCTGGATCAGCTCTGGGCAGGAGCCGCCTCCACAGCCTGGCAGATGAGACCTCGCCCAGGAGGGAGTGTCATGCTCCCTTGGCTGCCAAGTTTAGGTGCCACCATTGCAGCCCTGTACCTCACTGTGGGCGCAGGAATCTGGGAGGCACATGCTCCCCCACTCCCTTAATGCTTGCCTGTCCCCTCCCCGTGCCCCCAAGTGTCTACACCGCCCACTTTCCCACACACCCACCCTCTTTT